CTGCCCCACCACATACATCGGACAAACCAACAGAAGAATAAATGCACGCATTGAAGAACACAAGAACTCAGTCAGAAAAGAGGAACCAACTTCTTCCCTGGTCCAACACCTTAAAGCCACAGGACATAAAATTGACTTTAAAAAGACCAGAACTATCGCCAAAACTGAACACTTTAACAACAGAATAATCAGAGAAGCTATTGAGATAGAAAAACGCCCACACAGCATGAATAAACGAGATACCTCCTGCCTACCAGCCATTTGGAAACCCGCCCTTATTGGCAAACGAGTTCCTAACACGAAGAATGACCCACACTCACGAAAACCACACAGGATGTCACCACCACACATCCACACAAAAAGCAAATCCAAACCCACACAGATGATGAGGCACAACCACAAACTAGAAGCCAGCCCACAGCTGCATCATTAGCCACTTTAAACCCCTCCAATCCATACATGAAACAAACTGACACCCACCATAAAGATGTGGCACGACCACGAACACGAAGCCAAACAACAGCAATGCAGCTCACCATCTCAAATCCCCCTGCAACTCAGACTAACCCGAGCACAACAAAGCCCCCACCCAAACAGAACACTCCCCCATCCAATCAGAGCACAGCCAACCCCCATCCAATCAGAGCACAGCCAAGCCCCTTAACCAATCAGAACACACCTCCACCCAATCAGAACACAGCCAAGCTCCCACCCAATCAGTTCAAACCCCACTGGCAGTTAAAAGGAAGAAACAGCTGTGATCACACATTACTCTTAGAAGCACGAAGCTGAAGACACCAGGCTGATTGACATCGTAGCACGAGCGGAGGAAAGATTGAACTGGAGAGGTGTGGCTGGGAAGGGAGCAGTGAGGAAAGAATGGGAAGTGGATTGGGGAAACGACGGAGGACCTGTTACGGAGATCGAGAGTGGGGGGAGGCAACAGAAAGAGGGATGTGCAGGAGGGAACATCCCCAAACCCCCAACAGCCTCGCGCCTGAGAAAGAGTGGGGAGGAAGAGACCAGCACTCTCTCACGCCTGAGAAAGGGTGGGGAGGAAGAGACCAGCACTCACATGCACACGGAGGAAAGATCGAACGGGGGAACGGAGATTAGAAAGGGCGAGGAGAGGAGGGCAGGACCAGGGAGCTGTGAGGGAGAGAATACCTTCGCACCCCCAATGGCCCCCCACCAGAGGAAAGGGAGAGGAGGAAATCGACACCCATATGTGCATGGAGGAAAGATCTAACCGGAGAGCTGAGGCTAGAAAGGGAGAGGAGAGGAGGGAATGGGAAAGATCGTGGAAAGGTGATACGGAGATCGAGAATGGGGGGAACGCACAGCAGGAAGATAACCATGTAGGAGGGAATATCCCCACGCTAGAGGAACAACAGGAGAGGGCTAATGAAAAGGGGAGGAGTGGACACGAAGAGAAAGACACCACGGATGGGGTGATGACAAAAACAAATGCAGGAGCGCTGCCTGTGCCCCCCACGACCCGTCACCGAGGAGGGACGGGGAGAAGGTTGATGGCCACACACACGCTCATGGGAGAAGGGCTAGGCGAGGGTGTAGGAGGGTGGAAGAAGGAAGAGAGGAGGGAGTCTGAGGATGAGAAGGAGGGAGCGATGAGAGTGGTGAGAGTACGAGTGACAAATGAGTTAGATAATACCATGGGGAAGAAGGAAGAGAGGAAGAAGGTGAGATCGCAGGTAACTGGAAAGAGGAAAGGAGGTAGTAAACAACAAAACGATGCCCTGTATGGAGGGGTGCCTCCTCCCCCTCCCCTGACGAACAAATAAGGCAAGAAAAGAAAAGGGGTGGGAAAGAGAAAGTTAGGAGCGTAGTAGTATGCGGAAGAACGGCTAAGAATTTAACGCAAGAGGACTATCGGGGCCCGTTCACGAGATCTAGGAGCCGGGTGCAAAAGGCACCGCTCCTATAAAAACAGCTACCCCACTGATGGCTAGCCACCCTGACGAAGCCGGCAGGAGGCCGGCGAAAGCTAGGTGTTTTAATGTTTTAATAGTAATAAACTTTTGTAATTTTTTTAACCTCCTGGTGGTCTCACTGTTTGTGACCCTTCGAACATGAATTTACCCAGGAGTCATCCTCCAATTTTTAGAATTTTAAAGGATATATATATATAAAAGTTCCAAGTTAGTCTTATAGATTTCTCCTTTTCCCCAGGTAATTAATTTGCTGCTTTCTTGAGGGAATGGGGTGGAAATTCCCTTTCCCTTCTCTTTGGGGGGAGTGCTTTGGGCAGATTTTCAGGAAAAGGTCTTAAATTCATAAAGAGAGGCTTAGATCTCACCCAGTTTCATCCATGTTGCTGTAAACTTGCTTAGTAGTGCTTGGTGTCTTCCGTTGACAGCAGCTTCTGACTGGCTACGCAAATGTAGCCAGTCTTCCCCCCGCCAGTTTGGAGGGCTTCTTCGGATCAAACAGGAGGGCTGCCACCCCCGTGATCAAACGAGGGTCCCCTCGTTTACCACCTCTGTGGGGCAGCTTTCGACCCTTTTCAGGGTCTCCCAGCGGGGCAAAATCAAACATGGAAGATGGAGCTCATCTTCCAGCGTCTGCCTCGCCGCGACGCCATAACCGGAAGTCAATTGTCTCTTTTATTGATTTTAACATAGAATTTCTTTCTGAAATTCATCAACATTTTCTTGTTGGTATATCAAGCTGGGGACTTTGGCGACAGGTGTTAGGGATGGTTTTTTACTATTTGAAGCTAAGTATGGAACATCCATTTTGTTTTTGTATGTAGTCTTTATACTCCGATCAATTTAGGGATTTAAAGAGTTTCAATTGTCATTTGAACTCCAAATTATGCAGCCAGCCTATCAGTTTGTCCTTAAGTCTCCCCTCAGCAAATAAAAGTTTGAATTTTTCAAATTTTCTGTCTAATGAAAAACACATCCTTTCTGTCCAGAGAGAAAAGAGCAATTAAAAATTGTTCATCTATCAAAGGTTTATAATCCAAAGTATTCCATCATCTCAATAATGCATGTTTCTTCTATAGAGAAATAGCTCCATAACACAACTCCAAAAGTCAGTATTTATATTTGTAGTTCAGGCAGGCCAGTTGCAAAATAGTTTATTGTCTCTGCCCCACAAATAAGCAGCAGCCCAAGAGGTTGTTTCCCCCTCCCCTTTTCCCAGCTGCAATTTTCAGAAGTGAAAGTTTCTGAAAACAACAAAAGTCTTATCTGAGTCTGGGCTTCCAGACAAGTTTTCTTTAGGCATAATAAATTGTAGTGCTGTAGTTCGCCACTAGATGTAGTTGACACCATCTTCCAGTTTTTTACATCCAAACATATATTACAAGCTTTTTAAGTCTCTCTCTTTTTTTAAAGCAACCTGGAATTAAGGAGAAACTTCCTGACAGTGAGGACAATCAACCAGTGGAACAGCTTACCCTCAGAAATTGTGGGCTCCCCATCACCGGAGATTTTCAAGAAGAGACTAGACATTCACCTGTCTGAGACCATATAGGTTCTCCTGCTTGAGCAGGGGGCTGGACAAGAATACCTCCAAGGTCCCTTCCAGCTTCTATTTCTACTTCTACTTCTATTTCTATTCTTTTTATTTCTATTTCTATTATTTCTATTCCTATTCTATTCTAAACAAAATTTGGACACCTGGCAAGTGACAGTTGCAATCTCCAGGGATCATGTGGTCACCTTTTGCGACCTGACAAGCAAAGTTAATGGAGAAGTCCGATTCAATTAACAATCATGTTACTAATTTAGCAACTGCAATGATTCACTTAAGAACTGTGGCAAGAAAGGTCATAAAATGGGCCAAAACTCATTTAACTGCCTTGCTTAGCAACATAAATTTTGGGCTCAATTGTCATAAAGTCAAAGACTACCTGTAACTGGTTCTCACAAACTCAACAAACCTGTTTGGGATTTCATTCACAGAATTTCAATCAAAACTGAGTCAAGCTAATGTAGCTTAAAAACCTGACAACTTATGCCAAGATTTAAGAGAGATTGCAATCTCATTTTTTTAAACAAACCAAGTAATGTATTATCTACTGCCCACTGTTGGGCAAGAAGAGCAGATAAAGACAAACACACACAGGCTCCATATATGCATATTTATTATCTAACTTAAAATCTACAGGCAGCTCAGTGACACTAGACAAATAGCAAAAGCCCTTAAAATGTTTATATTAAATCAGATTTTTTTTAAAAAAAAGATTAAAGATGCAATTGTGAATAAAAATGTACTATCTAATATTGCTTTATGAAAAAGGTTTTAGTGAAGCAAAACATGGATTAGTGACCTCAAAATATATATGTAGATATAAAATTTCTATTCCTCATCTGAGTCCCCAAATAGTACTTCTAGAACTTTCAAGTTTTAGTATATAATTTATTATTCAAACAATATTTAAATTAAATGAATTCTCGAGTTAATACCTTCCCCAAATGTCAGATACCATTTATTTAGCAATAGGTCACACTGAAGAGAATCCTCTGGCTAGCACATAAAGCAGTAAAATATTACAGTTTAATATATTAGAGTGTCATCAATGAATCATATGTTTTATTATTATTCCCAGTTAAGAATGATAATTGAACCAAGAGATAAAGCTAAACAGTCAACAGCATGATGAACCAGACATAGGTTTTTGGTGAAGATTTATCATATCTGTTTGAATCAAGTGATCTGATCTATCATCAGTAGCAAGGACTCTTCGAACCGCTTCCTCAAAAGCTGCTGCAACATTAGTGGCATCTTTTGCACTCATTTCAAAGTAAGGATGATTGCCATTGTTTCTGCACCAGATCTGGGCTTCTTCTGTAGATACTTGCCTCTCAGTTATATCAATTTTATTACCCAGTATCACAAAAGGAAATGTTTCAGGCTCTTTCACATCTGCATAGTAAATGAATTCTTTTTTCCAGTTGCTCAGATTTTGGAAGCTTTGAGAATCATCTACACTGAAAGTGAGAAGACAACAATCAGAACCTCTGTAGAAGGGTGTCCTCAAGCTCCTGAACCGCTCCTGGCCTGCAGTGTCCCATATCTGCATTGTGACAAAGTGTCCATCTACTTCCAGATCTTTATTTAAGAATTCTACACCTATTGTATGGAATAACTGGGTATCAAATTTGTTAGTAACATATCTGTTCATAATTGAACTCTTTCCAACTCCTCCATCTCCTAAAAGAATTACTTTAAGGAGTGATGATTTTGTTGCCATTATTTCAAGAATAGATCCTTTATGATCTCCAGATCTGCAAAATAAAACAAAATTCATATGTTTCAAACATTTCAATATAAATCAACATGAAATATTAACTCTATATGCTAGTGAATCAATATTTGTTGATGTTGGGAAAGATTGAAGGCAAAAGGAAAAAGGGATAGCAGAGAATGAGATGGTAAGTGTCATCGACTCAATGAACATGAATGAAAACTCCAGGAGACAGTGGAGAATGGGAGTATGGTCTACAGGAGCCGCCAAGAGTCAGACATGATTTAGAAACTGAACAACCACAACTCTAATGGAGAGGACACTATAATGACACAAAATAAGCTTGGGTGGCAACACCTGACCAACTTTGGCTGATCTTGAAAGAGCCAAGTCTTACTAGGACTAGGATGGGAATGAAAAACATTCCAGAAAACCATCGCCAGAAATCAAACTTGACTTGAAGTTTTTTAAAGATCCTTTTAATAGCATTTTCATTAATATGATTACATTATACTTTTGATTCCAAGTCACCCTCTTCAATTGTTAAATATTTAATTATTGCAATATGGCAATTTAGATATTACATTCCCCACAGTCTAATTTTGAAGACATGAGAGCTGTAGGCGTCTCTCCTGTCAATGCTGCAGACTGGACAAAATGGGGGGTGGGATGCAAAATTCCAACTTCTCTGTCATATGACGAGAACAATGCAAAGAACAACAAGAGTCTAATTAAGAGAGAATTTGGGGGAACTGTGTAAGTAGCATGTAAAAACAAAAGGAAAAAATACATTTCTTACAAACTTTTCAAAGTGACTAAGTAGTGCCAAATGTAAAGGTATGAGCCAAAACAAAGCACTTTATTCCCCACCTCCTTCTTTGATAGTATACTCCTATACAATCTTGACTATCATGTTTAAAAACATTTTCAGTAAAACCCAGATAATAAGAATTATCCTCAATTTCAGGTCTTATATTAATAAGAATTGCCTAGGTCAGGGGGTCCCCAAACTGTGGCAGTAGCCTATTCACAACCGGGCTGTAAGCACATGTGCAGGCCCACTCGTGCAGGCAGCAAATGCCAGCACTCGCAGCCTCACTCACATGAACGGTGGGTGGCAGCGGTTGTAGCCCCAGGTATCAGCACCGGCATTCACAGCCTCACACGAGCAGCGGGTGCCAGCACTCACAGCTCCTTATGCCCGCTGCTCACATAAATGAAGCTGTGTACATGTGCACAGCTGCCCCTCACACAAAATCATCCCCCCCCCCCCCCGTGCTGGAAAGGTTAGAGAACACTGGCCTAGGTAATCAGGGTAAACACTTTAATTTGCCAAATAGTAAGACACATTAAATATAAATATATTTGTTATAGTTATCCATTTATTTATAAGGCCGCCCAACTGAAACTGTGACTCTAGGTGCTGTGAACCTTAAAAAGTATAAAAAATACAAATATAAATACAAATTATAAAATATAAATATTCTACAACTTATAGGACATAAAGCCCCATTTGATAACTCCTTCTTTATTAAGTACTCAGGAAATTTATTTTATGTATAGTCAACCTTTCTCAAACCGGTATGATTCAATTTCCTTAAATGTGACAAAATGTTATTAATGTATAGTGCTTGTAAAATTCATTGTGCTTACATTGCCTTAATGATATCCGTTTATTGCATTTAAAAGAGAAATTGCCTATCAATCTGCAGAATTATGGTCAGCAATCATTATATAGCACTACAGGCAATCCTTGCTTATCAAGTGCTTATTCAGCAACTGTTTGAACTTAAGCCTGAAAAAGGAGATTTACAATAGTCTTCAAACATACAGCCACTGCAGCATCCCATGGTCATGTGATCACAATTCAGGCATTTGACTACTGGTATGCATTTATGACAATCCAGAGTCACATAATCAACATTTGCAACCTTCACAGCTGGCTTCCAACAAGCAAAGTCAACATGGAAGTCAACAGTAAGTCACAAGCCATGGTCATGTGACCTTGCACTTAATGACCACAGCCATAACTAATGCCCTAAGTCAGGTGTGGTCATGTTTCACTTTACAACCACATTACTCAGCAATTGTTACAATTTACAATCAGTAAGTGAGACTATTTATTTCCTCTGCAGTTCGTCATACATAATATTGTGTTTATTCAGAAAATAACAGCCTCTACATTGTTTTTATTTTAAATGAGATGCTCACTCTGTTGCTGATTAAGGAATTAGAGAAAACAAAGTATTACTGTAAAAATGCAGTGATGCTATTTCAAATGAAACCCTGAATAGAGTAAATCTATGTTACTGTTCAATGAATATATTTTCCTTTAAAATAATTTATCTGTATCTACATGCAGAAAACATGACAAATCATTTTTTTAAATAATACAGTACTATACAACCAAGAAATGACACTTGAATATATGAACAAAGAACTCAATGCTTCTTGTGGTCAGTAAGTTAAACAAACTTTGGTACATTACTCACCTATCTATGTAACTACTTTCTGGTAACATCAATTTCATGCTTAAATAGTAACAATCTTCCTTAGGCATCAATTATTTGGCTAACTGATTTTGTTTCTTTCAACTTTGCATTTTTATTGACAAAGCAATAAAATATTTTCTGATTAATGAACTATTCCAAAGAATAAAGGTTTTGTTTTTTTAAAAAATATCTGTTGATAGATACTTCTTTATATTCTATTTGCTTTTGAATTGGTATATTAGTATCAGTTACTCAGTTTTCCCTTGAATACTGCTCTCAATAGTAAGAAATCATGCTTTATAATCATGGGAAATTTGGATATCTTCTACTTTATTTTTGTACAATGGCAGCTTTTTGCAAGCAATGCTGTCTACCTCCCACCCAGAGGCCTTTTCTTATTAGAAAATACATTAACATTAAAATAAAAAAATTAAAATGACCTTACTTTATCCAATAGTAATAGTGCCAATACTATACTATGACCCTCTTTTTGAGATGAAATTGTCGTTTGTAGTATAGCAGGAAAAATATATTCATAAGGTTAGAGCAGGGGTACTCAACCTTTTTATACCTACCGCCCACTTTTGTATCTCTGTTAGTAGTAAAATTTTCTAACCGCCCACCGGTTCCACAGTAATGGTGATTTATAAAGTAGGGAAGTAACTTTACTTTATAAAATTTATAAAATTTATAAAGCAGAGTTACAGCAAGTTAAAGCATATAATAATAATTACTTACCAAATACTTTATGTCGGACTTTTGCTAAGTTTGGCAGAATAAATATTTATAAAACAAGTTACTGTAGTTAAATCTATCTTTTTTGTTTATACTTTGCATACATAGAAGCATGAAGTCTGATGAAATTACATTTAATTAATTAAATTATTAATGAGATCTCTGAGGCTGATGCTGCGAAACTAAATACTGGATATCTGGCTCAATTTTTGCAAGGAACAAACGAAGGTCTCCTCTTTCGGAAATATTCAGGCGGTTTCTTTCTTTGGTCATAATATGATTAACAGCACTAAAGCCTGATTCCACAAGATATGAGGTAGGGAAAGGTATCAATAAACTGAATATCATTTTCCACATATTTGGATATAAGACAGGCATTTTTTTACTTTGCCATAGGTTTTCATATCCACCA